GTTTTTAAGCTTTTTATGGCTGGGCACATTTCTGTTTATATTCCAATGTCATGGCTCAATACTCTCCCCTTTTCCCCTCTATTCTAAACTCTTACTTTGATTTCTCTTTATACCTCAAATACCCCCATATTTTATCACCTCTCTTAAACCTTATCACACATTCTTCTGTTCTCAGGCCTAGAGTGTGCTCACCATCTGCCACTGTCTCCCATTCCTTCACCTGGTTAACTTCTGCTCATCTTTGAGAGGTCAGCACAGATATCACTTCTTTCAGGGAGCTGTTCCCATTAATTCTGAGTTCAATGTCTTTCCTATTTAAGAGACTATTTACTTGTCTCTCTCCCAAATAACTGTAAACTCCTTCAGGATAGTCACTCCCCTTTTCCCACTGATCCCAAGAGCCTAACATAATGTCTGGACCATATAATTGCTAAGTAAAAGTTGAACGGAGTTTCAGACAACAGTAGCTTTATTAAGAACATTTAGTTATATTTTTAACAAGGTGTGTGGAGCTAAGGAGTCACAGGCTTAGTTCCATGGCTCAGTGATATCAGAATCTAAGCTCTTTTATTCCTTTGTCCATTATCATTAACATGGCAATTTTCATTCTCTTTATAATCTAAAGAAAGCTGCCATGCTCTAAGCATTTCCTCCTCACACATCACTTTTAAAGAAAGGATGAGTATAAAGGATGGAAAAAAAGTTCTCTTATCTGCCACAGTCTTTCTGCAGCTAGGGTTCAGGAATCTGGAGAAGGGCTATGCATAAATGAATAGAGACTAGACAAGAAATATAAATTTGGAAGGCATTTGGGGAAATCAGGCAGAGGCTTCACCCTCTAGAGCAGCGGTTCTCAACCTGTGGGTCGCGACCCCTTTGGGGGTCAAAAGACCATCGGAAAACACATATATAATTACATATTGTTTTTGTGATTACTCACTATGCTTTAATTATGTTCAATTTGTGACAATGAAAATACATCCTGCATATCAGATATTTACAATTCATAACAGTAGCAAAATTACAGTTATGAAGTAGCAACGAAAATAATTTTATGGTTGGGGGTCACTACAACATGAGGAACTGTATTAAAGGGTTGCAGCATTAGGAAGGTTGAGAACCACTGATGTAGAGGGATGGCTCTCTGAATCTCCAGACCCACGACTTTTTATTAACACATTTTCCCTTTAGCCAAGCAGATATACATATCAAAGGTAAAGTTTGGTAAACAATAAAGGATTATCAGGTTAGGGCATCGGTCGCAAACTCATTAGTCAACAGAGCCAAATATCAACAGTACAATGATTGAAATTTCTTTTGAGAGCCAAATTTTTTAAACTTAAACTATATAGGTAGGTACATTGTTATTAACTTAATTAGGGTACTCCTAAGCTGGCCTTTGCTAAAAACGTCCTTAATCTGAGGGGTCGACCTCAGCGAACGTACCCCCACTTCTTCTAACGCCACTTCTTCAAAATAGACCCGCCCAGGCCAAAAACTGACTTCTGCGCATGGGCCACGAAGTTTCAATAGCACTGTACGTGCACGCCCGAATGTGGTATTTTGTGGAAGAGCCACACTCAAGGGGCCAAAGAGCCGCGTGTGGCTTTCGAGCCCTGGTTTGCTCTCAGCTGTTTGGCAGTAGGTAATAATATGCAAATCTTCAGCCCTGCTGGAGATGTCCATCAGCCCTCTGAGGAACTTCTAGAATTTATTATGCTAACTACTGTTCTTAGCCTCCAGCACTCATCAGTTCCGGCCTCCACCCTTTTTCCTTTGATTTTATTGTTGAGAACTGGGTCACACGCCCACTTTAAGCAAATCATGATTCATCCTTGGTGCTTTTGTCTGAAGTCATTCTGCCCTGGCAAAGTAGGCGTTCTTTTAGCAAAAATATGAGTGAATAGATGACCAGTAAGAAGAGAATGATGACTGCCCCTAAAAGTCTTCCATTAGGTTTTACTAAAATCCATGACTCTTTTCTACAAATTGGAATTCAACTCTAGATTAGTGTTCCTTAAAAATGCAACATTTGTGATGGCATATTATTCTTTAGTGTGGGTATCTCAGCATCTTTGGCATGAGAAGCTGTAATTATTTGTTTATTTTCATCAGCTACTTTCTTCTGGGCCAGAAAGTACATTGAACTCTGCTGAACTTCAAGGTAGGCACTGGTTCTCCCATAAGACAACCAAGGACTATCTCAGACAGTGGAAAGACTATCGTCCTCTACTAGTCTTCATTCTTTGTAAATTTTCCTCCGTGGCCAAAGTGACAATGATTTTGTCAAGTAGCCTGGATCCAATAAAAAGGCAATAAAATGACAAAAGTGTTTATCATGAACAAATTAACTAAGCCTTGAGTAGATCAAAATATATCTAATTTTTCATGAACTTATCCAATTCAAAATATCCAATATAATGGTGATTATACAATTGTGGGAATTTAGATGACATCCCCAATATTCAGCCCTCTTAGCTCTTTCTCTCTCCATATACTTTACTTATTGAAAAATTTTGTAAACGAAAAAAGGAAAATGAAAGAAAATTATTATTATAGTTTACTATTTAAAAGCTTGTCTCTTTTTTATTAGTGTTATGATTCTGGTAATGATGATGATCTATCACTTATTGAGTATGAAGGAACCTATAATTGGCCTTTAATAAATATCTTAAAAATCATATCAACTCTATAATTATTATCGACATTTTACAAAGAAACTTAAAATTCAGATCTTATTTGTCCAGGTCCGTCAGTAGAGCAGGGATGATAATTCAGAGTTTTCTGATTTCATAATGATTTCTACATTCCCAGGTATGAGCCAACCTCTCTTCCTTCAATTCTCATTGTCACCCCCAATATGCCCATTCCTTTTTTCAAAATCCATGGTATATTTATTTATTTACTCAAATCCTGTTGTCTCAGGTTTTTAGCAATGTGTTCATTCCCACTCATTGGCTGAGACGTTTATGGACAGCCCAGGAAATTACCTATCTAGTTCAGCAGCTTAAGTCTGGAGGCACTCACATCTAGCTCAGCAAGTAAGTACTAGGAAGAAAAAAAACTCCACAACAAGCAAAGAGATTAACAGATTAATCCTATGGTTGAGGAGAGTATTTTTTTTTTCCTTTCCTTTGTTAAGGTAATAGGTGAGGTATGTGCTAAGGGATATTAAGCACCTGAGAACAACAGTAGTGACTGTTCGGGAGTTCACATAAGCCTCTGTAGGTTTCACATTTCCCCAGGGAATTAGCCAGGAGATCCAGTTTAGATGGAGGAGAAGGACCATCGGGCTTTGCTTAACCAAGGAGAGGAGAATGAACTGGTGAGTCTTCCCTTCTTTTTATTACAGGTTCCTCAAAGTAACTGAGCTGTGGGCAGGGGCTGTTGAAGTAGTGCTGGCTTTAGAACCTGGAGAGGTTTCAGTCTGGTAAGGCTCCTTGAGGTCCAGGGCAGTATTTTAGTGAGGGAACCTAATGGGCTGAGAAAGGGGGTCTTCTAGATGAGGGCACTCTTGCCATGCTAATAGGCATTGGACTGCATGAAGCCTCTGCTTCAGACATTTTGCGGAGTAATCAGGTGCACTCCTACATGAGGTGTTCCCTCCTCATCTTCTGGGTCTTGGTGCAATTGGACAAACTCAGGCAAAAACTGAAACTATTTTTATTATTCTTGTGTGTTTGTATGTATGTATAACTTATGTTCCCTGTGCATTAGGTGGAAGTCATGCTAGTTGCCTAGAAGGGTTTTAACCATCAAGTACTGAAGAAGGAATAGAGTGTGGAATGGGATTTAGCGCATATCTTAAAAAAGTTCTTACTTCTGCAATTCTTTTTCCCCCGTTGCCTTTTCCACCAAAAATATATACATTTTGAAAAATAATCATTGAAAGCTTGAAAACTCCGTGTCTATTTGGTGCTAACGGGTTACCTTTATTATTTTATTTGATCTGCAGAATTCAGTGAAGAAATTAATCCTATTTCATGGAAAAGAAATCTGAGACCAGGGAGGTTGAATAACTTACAAGGTCAAAACCTGCAAGGGACAGGCTGGGTATCCAGCTCACTTCCTTCTGCCTTTACACCCCATATGTTTGTGCTGCAATAGTGTCTCCAGTTAGGTAATGGGAAAGGAGACAAAGAAAGAAGGGAATTTGGCAGAGAAGGTGCCTGGGAGGCAGAAAGGAACCCAGGAGATAGAGTTCATATATCAGAAGGTCTCCCAGTTCCCTATGAATTCTGTGGGAAATCCATCCATCTACCCTTGTTTGTTAGCCTAAGGAAAAAAATGATTTAATCACATGCATTGTTCAGTACAGCAACCCTGGCCACATGTGGGTTTTGAGCACTAGAAAAGTAGCTAGTTTGAAATGAAAGACACTGACTGTAATGTAAAATACACACAGGATTTTAAAGACTTGGTAAAAAACAAAAACAACTTATAAACTAACTCAATAATTTTTAAATTGGTTACACATTGAAATGACAATTTTTGGATTTGCTGGGTTAAATAATATATATTATGAAAATTAATTTCACTTGCTGTTGTGGTTTTTTTTTTTTTTTCCCCCTGTGGCTGCTAGGAAATGTAAATAACCAATGTGGCTCCACTGGTTTGTTATTGATTTAGGCAATGGAGTGGCACTTTGAAATCTTCAGACAAGGAATTCACAGAATAAAAATCTACTCACCTGTGTTCACTCCAAAGAGCTCTATGCCAGTGCTGATTTTTTTTCAACATGCAGATAAGTGTTCATAAAAGCCTTTGGTTGCTCTTTATTTTTCTTTAATGAGGTGACCTATTTGTAAAATTCATAGCCTAGTATTTTAATTCTTTTAATCACAGAGGCAGCACAGGTATCAAAGCAATAAGTAACAGGCCCGGCAACATAGTTTACTCTTTGTTGGTGATCAAACACTTCTAGAAACACCCACTAAAAAATTCTATCAGGAACTCACTACGCTGATGTCTTGTTGTCAGGGCATGTTGTCAGCAGGAAGTGGCTGTGGATTTTTTCTTCATAAATCTTACTTGTGAGCTTGGGTACAGAGCACAGATGCCAGTCCTACTCGGGTGGATCAGAACCCTGGGTGAGTTAGGTAGCCTTGGTGGGAACAGGGGTCACCCAGGTGCATAGGCTAAGAGGAAGCTGCCACCTAGCTCCAGGCACTGCTGTCCTGTAAGTCAACATGACCGGTGCTGTCAGCTCTTCAGAGTTTGAAAGGGAAGCCAGAAATCGATATGATTGTGTGAAATAGCCTTATTATAAATTTTGGAAACAAATTCTTTTTTTTTCTTTTTTGATAATCGGTAGGCCAAACTAAGCCTGGGCATGGTCTTCTCCCAGCCTTTGCGGGCTATCAGTCATGGCTTTTACAACCTCTCCTCACTTGTTTTTGCTTTCCCAAAGGTTTCCCCATGGCCCACTCTTATTTCTATTTGTGTTAATCATCTCAAGTCTAATCACTTGTGATCATGTGAGAGGATCTGAGGTGAAAACTACACACTGTTTGGGCAAATAATGAATTCATTCAATCAAACACCCATAAAGAACTTATTTGAGTGGGGAGGGACTGTGAGATTATTCAAGTGCAGCCTGGAATCACTTTGCTGAGCTCAGCATAGATCTAAGCCATTGCACTAGCTTCCAGATTTGGAGGAGAAAGGGAATGGAAGTTGAATCAATTGCCAATGGCCAATGTCAGTCATGCCTAGTTAATGAAGCCTCCACCAAAACATAAAAGGCCTGGGCTGGGAGAGCTTTCTGGTTGATGAATATGTGGAGGTGCTGGGAGTTAGCCATGAGGAGAGGGCAGCTCAGTGCCCTTTCCAATCCTTGGCCTATCCATCTCTTCCTGAGTTATATCCTTTTATAATAAACCAGTGTTCTAGTAAGTAAAATATTTCTCTGAGTTCAATGAGCTACTCCAGCAAGTTAATCAAAGTCAAGGAGTGGGTTCTGGGAACCTCCAATTTGTAGCCAGTTGGTTAGAAGCATAGGTTGCTACCTGGACTTGCAACTGGTGTCTGGACTTGGGGAGAGGCAGTATTGTAGTACTGATCCCTCAACCTGTGGAATCTGATGCTATCTTCAGGTAGATAGTGTCAGAATTGAGCTGAATTGTAGGATGCCCAGCTGGTGTTTGAGAATTGTTTTGTGTTGTGTGGGAAGGCCTTGCCCTCACCACACAAACATACATAGTGGGAATTGGGTCCAGGAACTCACAAGAGTCACCATGCTAGAAAAGTTAGTTCTTATTATCAAATATAGACAAAAGTGAAAGTGATTCAAGACATTTTATCCCACCAAAGGGCACTCCATGGCATGAATGAAGGACAAAGTATAGAAAACTATAATTAACAATGCTTAGTAATTAGTGATAACTACCACAAATTACTACATGTGGCCAAGCCCAGGCAGTACTAGAGGGTGAGGAACAATGTCCACACTAACAGGGTCCATTGATACAGACAGTATTAGCTTTGCATTAAAGCAGCGGTTCTCAACCTGTGGGTCGCGACCCCTTTGGCGGTCGAACGACCCTTTCACAGGGGTCGCCTATGACCATCCTGCATATCAGATATTTACATTACGCTTCATAACAGTAGAAACATTACAGTTATGAAGTAGCAACGAAAATAATTTTATGGTTGGGTCACAACATGAGGAACTGTATTTAAAGGGCCAGAAGGTTGAGAACCACTGCGTTAAAGAAAAGAACCTTGAAACATGGCAGAGTTAGAGATAAGAGAGCTTTAAGAATGCCCTCCTATCTAACACATGAAGGAACACAATTTGGCATGTCCAGATAAAGAAAACAAAGGGTAGATTGTGAATAATGAATAGAAACTTGGTGCTGTTATGGTTGTTTTTAAAAAGAAAGAAGCTAAAACATGATTAATTCTAGTCTCATGAAAGGACATAGAAATATTATCTTTCCTTGGCTCTGATTCAATGGACTGAAATTTGTGGCCTATGTAGAAAAAGGTAACTTACTTTAAGGTTATTAACTTCTCACCCATGGAAAAGCTCAACATGTCTTAGCAAAAAACTGACCTTGCCATTCACAAAAGGTAATGGTAATACTGAGAGTTATTTATGTCTTGGTTGAGTAAATTCAGTTATAATCTTGTGCTGCTATGAGAATCTTTGGGTGAGTAAAAGTGTTATGAGCTATCATCCAGAATACCCATTCCAAGGACACTACTACTACTGTGCCTGTGCATGGTGGGCACACAACAAATATTTTTGATGGATAAACACACAAATAGTGAGCATAAGGACTAAAGGATTTACAAAAACTAAATAGTACTGTTCACAAGACCAGTCGTGCATAGATGCTAGTGCTCCTGATGCAATGAAAATCCAGGAGTAAGGACAGATGGTGACCAAGGGGATGGTTCCATATGACTAAGAGGATCCCCAACAGAGAATTTTGGAAATAAACCATGTTTAGATGAAGCAGCACCTCAGAATTCTTCTTTCCTGAGGAATTGAGCCAATTGGTTCTATCTTCAATGGCAACTGTAAAAGCTACCTATAAAAAAAAAGAAAGAAAAAGTAGTAATTGAAAAAGTGCCATTTATGGGCTAGAATTTCATATATGTTCTCATTTAGTCCCTATGACCTAATACCTTAAATATCCACTTTATGACTAAGGAAATTGAGGCTCGGTTAAGTAACATATATAATATCACATTACATAACATCAGAGGGTGTTCTACTACACTGTTTTCCTCCTGTACAAGTGAAGAAAGATTGTGCTGGCTTGTGTATATGTGTGTGTACATATGTGTGTATGCATGTGTGTGTGTGCATGCACACTCATATGTGTGTATGCATATGTGTGTGTGTGTGTGTATATATATACACACACACACACACATATATATGGTTATGACATCTAATTAATCTTTGAATCAATTTAGTATTTATCTTAAACTCAATTCTCAGTTTCACATATTACAAAGTTGAGTAGTTTTCTTTTTAGCCTGTATTAGACTTCAACTTGGACAACTTGTGCTCTGTGGTAAAAGCAAAAATTCCATTTAAGCCATTTAAGGATCAACCACTCTTAGAAATACAACTTATGGTTTTGGCAAATAACATTGAGTTCTGAACATTGCCTGTGGTCAAATCAATTTACAATGGTTTGAAATTTTGTTGAACTGTATATTACTCAAGCTAATATTAACTCAACACATACTGTGTGCTCAAAGTATTTCAGGAACTGAACTGCATATATTATCTTGTTAGTTTCTCACAACAATCCTAGGAGATAGTTGTTGTTATTTTCATTTATGGAGGAGTAAATTGAGTCATCA